TTGCTCATTCTGGATCTTTGGAGTGAGTAGAAGGTGGAGGTGTTCTTCAGTGAGTGCGTGAGTGAGTGATGGATGGAGAGCTCCCCACAGGGTCAGTGGGCCAGAGCCAGCTCAGGATAGCCTGAAGGAGGGGCTGTGGCCACATAGGAAGAGAGCAGAGTGCAACCTGAGCTGGCCCCATCTGTCACGGCTGCCAACTCAGGTTTGGGGACGGTTAGGCCTGCTGCCTTCTCTAACTGTGGTCACAGGGCTCCTTCTCTGCAAAGCATGGGGGACCGTGGGTGAAGCTGGGGCCTGGGGAGTTTCCCCTCTGAGTCCAAGGAGGCTTTGACCAGTTTGCTCAGCCTGGAGGGGCCCTGGACACGGAATGGAGGAGGGGAGGGTGATCTTAAAACCACACTGAGCCAGGTATGGTGGTGCACACTGGTAATCCCAGTGGTTCTGGAGGCTGAGGCAGGAGGATCTCAAGTTTGAGGCCAGCCTTCGCAACTTAGTGAGGCCCGAAGCAAATCAGCAAGACCCTGTTTTAAGATAAAAAAAATAAAATAAAATAAAAAGGGCTGGGGGTGGGGGCTCAGTGGTAAAGCACCCCTGGATTCAATCCCCAGAACACCCCCCAAAAACAAACAAACAAAGCCCACACTGAGAAGTGCAGGAAGAAAGCTGTGAGGTCTCCCTTTCGGGCCAGGGCAGAATCCCTGAGCCCTAAATGTCCCATCTCCTTGATTCTTAGTCCAAAATATGCAGTCTCACTCAGAGGCCCGCAGAAGCTAGATCACTGCCCAGGGATCTTGCCTCACCTGCCCAGGGGAGCAGGGCCCTTCCCCAGGCTGCAGCACGGGAGCTGAGAGGGGCGGGGCTTGGGGTCACCCAGATCTGAGCTTGGGTCTTTGGAAGCTGGGTGCTGGTCCCAGATCTGACTGACTCAGACACTCTGGCCCCTGGGCCACCCTGCCCTGTTCTTCAAGTGACTATTGTGAGCTCAACAGCTGTCCCTGCCAAGTGGCATCTTTGGGGCACAAAGAATAGTGGAGAGAGCAGGGCACACTGGGCCATTGTTCCTGGAGCTCAGCAGCAGCAGCTGTGGTCACCGGAGGCTCCTGCTGACCTCCGTCTCCTCGCATCTCTAGGTCTCTCCCGCTGCCAGACCCTCCTGGCTGAAGCTTGCTGCTGCCCCTCCAACTGAAACTGGACAGGGGACCGCAGCCTCCACAGCTCCTCTCATCAGGGACTCTCAGGAATAATGACCTTGGTCCTAAGAGGAGGGCACCTGGGTCCTGGAGCATCAGGCACATGCGTCCTCTTATCTGGGCCTGGGCAGGGGAGGACAGCAGACAAGTCCCAGGTCTCAAGGACAACTCTGATCACACCACTGTCCTGGGCCAGGCCCCCAGGGGTGCCTATCCCCAGACCTCCCAAGTGGGTGGCACCTATTGGTTCCATTTTACTGATGTGGAATCTGGGCCCCAGAGAGGCCGCCAAATGCCTGGCCCAAGGTTACAGGCTGGTGGCTGAGCCCAGATGAGCTGTGACTGCCCCTGCCAGTCTGCACCTCCCCGGCACTTGGGGTGTTTGCGTGGGGATCAAGGCAGGAGCACAGGATCAAGGGGAGGAGGGTGAGGCCCATGTGCCCCCCAAGGCACCAGCTATGATGGATTCAAAGCCAGGGGTGGGGGTGTGGGGCACACTGACCCGGCAGGCCCTGGAGCTAGAGAATTCCACAGCTCCCAGCCCCAGCCCCCTGCTTTCCAGGGCCGTGCATTCATAAAGGGAAAGGAAGAGCGTGCTGATGATTCAGGGAATTTGCAGCCAGCGCTAAATGAGAGACTCATAATGACAGTGATTAAAAATTAATGCCAGTGTTTGTGCAGTGATTCGGGTGTCCACTCTGCACCCATGAATTAATTAATAAATGACAATGTAAGCACTCAGCATAAGCTGCAGGGCACAGAAGCTGGATGGGGGAGCTCCAGAGGGGACATCCCCAGGCCGGGGCACCTGGCCCCTCCTCAAGGGCATCACTGGGAATTGTCTGGCCTGAGGACCACTTCCTGTTTGTGCACAGTGGGGTGCTCAGCCATCTCAGTAGCTGTGAAATAGTCTAAGGGGGCAGGGCAGTCCCCCCCTGGTCTCAGTGATATATCTCTGTCACCCAAGTCCTCCAGCGTCTATTTGTTCATCTGTGGATGGGGTGAGGCCTCCTGAAATTAAATTTCCAAGTAGGAAGTTGTGTTAATTTCCTGTGGCTGCTGTAACAAATGACCCCAAACTGGGGGGCTTAAAACAACAAAATTTTAGGCTGGGTGCAGTGGGGTACGCCTCTAGCCCCAGCTAATTGGGAGGCTGAGAGGCAGGAGGATGGCAAGTTTGGGGCCAGACTTGATAGCTTAGCAAGACTCTGTCTGAGAAAAATAGAATCATAATAAAAGGGGCCGAGACGCTAGCTCAGTGGTAAAGCACCGCTGGGTTCAATCCCCTGGACCTCAAAGGAATCCAAGCCCAGAGGTGTATTTCTCTCACACTCTGGAGGCCAGAACTCCCAAATCAGGGTGCCACAAGAAAAGAACAACAGGTGCCGCAGGGCTGGCTCCCTGTGAAGGAGCCTCCGACCCTGTTCCTGTCTCTCCAGCACGTGGGGTGGCGCCAGGCAAGCCTTGGCTCTCTGGGGCCGGTGGACGGCCCCAGTCTCCTCTGTCTTCACGTCGTCCAATCAGTGTCTCTTCAGAATTGGTGTCTCAAGTGTCCCTCTCTCTCTCACACGTCACCCGTTACCTAGTTTAGAGCTCGCCCTCTTCCAGGATGATCTCGTTTGGAGATGCTTAACTCAATGGCACCTGTGAGGACTCTAGACAAGATCCCATTCGCAGGAACCAGGGGCTACTTAGGATTGAGATGTTTTTTGGGCAAACAGTTCAATTCACTACAGAAGGGATTTGCTTGATTGATTGATTGTGCTGGGGACTGAACTCAGGGGTGCGTTACGACTGAGCTACAGCCACAGACCTTCTTGTTTGCGTATTTTTTCCTTAATTTTGAGATCGGATCTAAGTTGCCAAGGCTGGCCTCAAACTTGTGATCCTTCTGCCTCAGCCTCCTGAGTAGCTGGGATTGTAAGCGTGTGCTACTGCACCCAGCCAGAAGGCAAACTCCACGAACACAAGGTGCCCTCATTCTTGTGCCCAGTTAAAAAAGAATCACTGGGAGAGTGAACCCAGCTAAGTGGGATCCACCTCGTGCCTTCTGCTGGCCAGGACAGGGGGTGCAGGGAGCCCAGGTGAAGGAGGAAAGCTAGGGGGCTCTGGTTCCTGCTCATCTCCAGCTAAGACTGCTTTCAGACCAGAGTATCAGAAATAACCTCAAACCATATCTCCAGGGCTCAGATGTTAATTTATTTTTTTTACTCTTTATTTTAATTTGTATTATATTTTATTTGTTATAAGTTTCATGATCTAATCTTTTCATTTTTATTGGTGCATTATAATCATACATAATAGTGGGATTCACTGTTGTGTATTCACACGTGTACACAGCACAGAATATAATTGGGTCAGTATTATTCCATAGTATCTCCCCTGCCTTTTTTTTTTTTTAATATTAGTTGTTGATGGACCTTTACTTATTTAGGTGTGGTGCTGAGAATCGAACCCAGGGCCTCACACGTGCTAGGTAAGTGCTCCACCACTGAGCCACGACCAGCCCCCAGTCCTTTTTATTTTGAGACATGGTCTAACCAAGTTGTCCAGGCTGGCCTCAAATATGCAATCCTCCTGCCTCAGCTTCCCAAGTAGCTGAGATGACAGGCGTGCCATACTGCCTGGCCTTTTTTTTAAGCCATGCCCCAAGCTGCCTGGCCACCACCTTTCCCTTGGTCTGTTGAGTGTGTTCTCAGAGCTCTGTGCCCCCTTCTTGTCAGAGCCTCGGGGGGCTGGACGGAGCCTCCACACCACCCTCCCAGACCCGCTGAGGCCCTGGCTGCCGCCCCTTCCTCCCTCTGCTGAGGCCGCTTTCCGCCCCGTTGTCTGACTGTGTGGCTCCTTGTGGTGTCCACGCTGGACGGAGCCACCTGAGGCTGGACACACCAGCCTCCAGGACAGAGATGTGCAGGGATGCGGGTGGAAGGCCCCCTCAGGAGACCTGGATTCCAGCTGTCATTCCGTGTGCCCTTGGCCTCCCCTGAACTGCCTGTCCTGCCAGGCTGCCGTGAGCCTCTTGTGGGCTCCTGTTGACAGGTAACGTCCTCTCAGGGTCCCATCAATGCACAGAATGGGGCCAAGAGAAGCCAAGGCTTCCATCCTGGGCCCTCTCATCCCGACCCTCAACCTCTCACCAGCTGTCGTCCAGGGTGGCCCCAGCGCATGGAAACCCTGGGATCACGTCCCCCCCCTCCCAGCCCGCCTGGGCTCCAGGTGTCCCTCTCTCCTGCAGTGTTCTCAGGAACAACAAACCAGGTGGGACAGCCTCGGAGGGAGCAGCAGGCTGGCTCCTGTCTCACAGCGCCAGGCTGCAGGGCGTGCCCACCTCTCCCGCTAGGCTTCTGGTCCATGGGCATCCAAGGCCAGTGTGGCTCTGGAAAGGGTCGTTCTAGGAGAGGCCAGGCCCATGCAGGGCTGTAGCAGGGGGAGGGGAAGCCTGTCTAATTAGAGCCTCAAATGCTCCTTTGAAAGCGTTTTTCAGATGTCCCCAGCCCTGCGGGCAGGGGGGGTGTAATAATAATAAAACAACATTTGCATAGGGATTTCCTTTACAAAGCACTTTCTCAGGGGTGGGAGGCGCTGTGGGGGCCGTGGAATCCTGGCGGGGAGGCGGCCCTGGCCTTGGGTTGGTTTCACCCTCCAGCCCAGCCTGCAGTGTGCGGGGGTAAACAAAGCCCTATTCATCCAACTGTTTCCGATCCCCTGGCCTACGTTCCTTTCTCCCTCTCCCATGGAGAACTCACTTAGGGCTTGTCACTCAGGATAGAAAAGGGGCATCAGGAGTCCCAGAGGGAGGGGTGACTTGCACCCTGTGGGGCCCGTGCCCTCTGGCTCCACGCTCTGAATCAGAACACCTCCGCTGTGGTTGGTTTGTGCAACTCTCTTGCTGCCCACGTTTGTGTCTTCATGTGCACGGTGTCAGCCCAGGTTTGCTGTGTCTGCAAATGCTGTGTGCATTGGATGACATGCAGAGATAAGCAGGTGCGGGTCTTTGCTAATCCCTTCCCACCTGAGTGGGAAGTGAGACTAAGGGACACAGGATAGGGCCCTGGGGCCACTGCACCTGCAGGGGTGGGAGGGCTGAGGCAGCCGGGTCCCCCTCCTGTACCACCCGGCTAGAGATCACTGGCAGTTAGCTGCCATCCAGCATCCTTGGAGTGGGGGGCGCACCAAGCCCTGGCCCCTTAAGGGCTGATGAGCTATATAGGGTCCACCTGTAGGGCCCTCGAAACCTGCAGCAGGCCCAGCAGGAGACAGAAGATGGAGGAGGTCATTGCCGGGTTGGAGCGCCTCACCTTCGCCTTCGAGCAGGATGTGGAGCTGCAGAGAGGCACCGGGCTCCTGCCTTTCCAGGGCATGGACAGTGAGTGAGGGCAGCCCCTCTCTGCAGGACTCTGCTCAGCTCCCTCACGGCGGGGCCCCTTAGCTCTGGCTCTGGGTAACCCGTTTTCCAGATTGAGAGAGGCGGAGAGGTGACTCCACAGGAGGACCCTGGCCTCCCCGTCTTTCAGGCTGGTCTGAGGCCCCCTCCATCTCCTGTTTCAGAGCTGGGGGTTTAAGTTGAGGCTTGGAGGCTGGTCTGGAGGCTTCCAAAGGGCTGGAACTTGAGGGCTCACAGGCTGGAGCCTAGGGGCCGTTTAGGTGGCCCTTGGTGGCAGAGGGTTGGTGAAGGTCCCACGCCCACAGCTGCAGGTAAGCTGTCTTCTCCTCTCCCTTCCCCCCAGAGTCGGCCTCAGCCATGTGCGTCTTCTTCGCTAAAGGGCTCTGTGGGAAAGGTGAGCTGGGGCAGGTCTGCGTTGGGCAGGAGCAGGGGCAAGCGGGGGCTTGGTGGGGGCTCTGCCTGGTGGGGTCGGAAGTCCACTGTGCCCCATGGGGTGGAGAAACTAGGAGTGGGCAGAATTTGGTCTTTTTTTTGGTGCTGGGGATTGAACCCAGGGCCTGGTGCACACTACCAACTGCGCTACATTCCCAGGCCCAGAATTTGGTCTTATAGTAGGCCGGCCACAAGTGCGTGGGTAAACCGAGCAGCCTGCGGGCTCCTGCCTTTGTGTCAGGGTGTCCAGGGCTGCCTGGAAGGGCTGTCCCTTCTTCCTGCCTGTGTGGGTGTTCCTGGGCTTCTGCCTGGGTGTCCAGGAGGCTCAGGCCTCCTTGTCCTCTCCCACTCTCCTTCTGGCGAGGACAGTGCCATCCTCTCCCTCCAAGTCAGTGGAGAAACTGGTCAAGTGCCCCAACTACACCCTATGACTTCTGGTAGCTCTGGCCACCATCTTTGAAATGCTACAAAAATCAGCCACCACTTTTGTCCCACCCGGCCTGCGGATCAAGCCCCTCCCCCAAACGCAGCCTTCTGGGGAGGCCTGACTTGCCCACGGGGCTCCTGACCCCTCTTCTGGTTCAGGGGCCACTCTGAAGCTCTTCCCGTAGAAACAAGCAGTTGCCCCCAAATCTTGCCTCCCGTTTTAAGGGTTCCCAGGCTTCCTGGAGTCTGCCTATTGATCTAGGCCAAGAAATTCTTCATGAATTGGACCTGCTTAGCGGATCCCTGTGATTCTGTCCTAAGAAGCTGGGAGGCTGGAGGGGCCCAGGCAGGGAGGCCCTGAAGCCATATTTGCTCACCTGCCTTGTTTGTGGCCCTGGACAGTGTGGGTCGAGAACAGAAATGGCCTCACTGGTCACCCAGGCCCCTGTGGGTCCACCAAGGACTGAGTGGCCAGTGGCTGGCAGTGACACCCTCTCTCCAAGAAATAAAGCGGTTATTGTGGACTGTCAGCATGTCAATGGCCAGGGGTGGAGGAAAGGGGACTTGAAGAGAACACCTTTCCTGTCCCCAAGATTCCTACAGAGTTGGCCATGCATGAGGCTGGCCCTTCTTAGAGGGTTAGGAACCAGGGTGTCTTTCTGCCTGGGAGATGCCACCTTGGGAGGAAGATGAGGTATAGATGTAACATTTCCAAAGTTGGCGCTTAAGTGGCCACATTTTTCCAGATCAGGAAGCTGAAGGTGTTTTTCAGAGACGTGAGCTCAGTCAGCCCTCAATGAGGACTTGCTCTGTGCCAGGCGGGCTGGGTGTGGGCCTCCAGGGCTACTCTCTGGTAGAAGGAGAGGGGTTCATGTTGGGGTGCGAGGGAGGCATCTGTCCCAAGCCTGGGGCTTCCTGAGGCTTGCCGCAGGGAGGTGTGCCAGGCAGAGGCGTGAAGTGGGAACTGCCATGCTCAGACAGCTTGCCCTGCATGGCACCTTGGCGCTGTCCTAGTCCCTCCCAGGGTCCAGGTGGGATGCAGGAGGGCAGCTAGGGACAAGCCCTGCACCCCCTAGGGAACGCCTCGGAGGCTGAGGCGGGCCAGCTGTGGGCAGGTGGGAGCCTCGAAGTGGCGCACTGGTGTCTGCAGGGAAGCTCTGCCCCTTCCGGCATGAGCAGGGTGAGAAGATGGTGGTGTGCAAGCACTGGCTGCGCGGGCTCTGCAAGAAGGGCGACCACTGCAGGTTCCTGCACCAGTACGACGTCACCAGGATGCCCAGGTGCTACTTCTACTCCAAGTTCGGTAATGCCCCGGCCTGGCTCATCCCTGCACCCTGGAGGGTGACGGGGGTGGGGTGAGTGGGAAGGAAGTAGGTTGGGGGGCAGGGCACCCACAGGGGCCAGGTGTGTCCCAGGAGACCAGCCAGGGCTGTCTGAGCCCCAGGTGCCTCTGCTTCCCCACAGCCTCAGACAACTGCAGCGTGCCACCCTGCCCTTGCCTGCCCTCACCTGTCCCCACCCAAGGGGACAGCGGCATCATTTCCCTCCCCAGTCCTGCCTGGCTCATGCACACCCAGGCTGACTGGGAGTAAGTCTCCAGGGAGCCGTCCCCGACCAGGACTCCCCAAACAGAGGCACAGTCACGGTGCTTACCACACCCACAGGCAAGGCACCGTCGCCCTCTCTCAACCATCTTGTGACTTCCAGCTCTTACTTTAGAAGAGAAACAAAACAAAACAAAAAACCTTTGTGTTGCTTCCATAAATGGAAAACTAGCATGACGCGTAAACATAAAGCCTGAGGTTCGGAAGTCTGGCCCCTGAAATTATCTTGTGTGGTCAGGCCTGCTCCGGCATCTCACCTTCCTCCTGGCCTCAGTCCTTCTTTGGTCATCGAAGGACTCTTTAGGGGGAAACCACAGCCCCTCCACCAGCTGGGGAATGGAGTGTGAGCCTGCTTCAGAGCCTGCCCTTCCCAGCAGCACCGTAGCTCAGTGCTTTGCTGAGCCGGAAGCTCATCCTTTAGGATGATCTAGTTGAGTGGGTTTCAAACTGTGTTCCAAACAGAGCGGCCAGCAGAGGGAGCTGTGTTGCGCACCCCTCCTTTAGGAGGCTCAGGGCCAGCTTCAGGCCACTTAGGTGCGGAGCCATTCCCTGCAGGCTGATGGTAAGGCTCCTCCCAGGCCAATATTCCACTCCCAGAAGGTGAGGGCCACCCAGTTCACAAGGACTGCCTGCATATCATTCTGGAAAGACAGGAATTTATCTGGGAGTCTGGGTGCCCCTGGTCATTGCCTAAGGCTTTATCATTTTAAAATGTCACTTATGCATTCTCTCAATAACCTGCGGTAGGTTTCACTTGGGGATTAGACACGGTACTGTGCATGGAAACAGGAATAGGACCCAGTCCCTTTCTGCCCTTCAATAACTAATTATAGGGAAGAGACATTCAAACTCATGACTACTGTAAGTAATCTATGCTTTTGTTCTTAGAGTAAATGAATCTCTAATATTGTATCAAAGTAATTATCATTATTCTTGGATATAAAGATTTTTAAAAATACTGCTAGGGGAGCGTGAGGGTCTAGGATATCCCAGGTCTTCCCAAACTCTTGGGACAAGTGACCCAGGTGTATTCTGAGAAGCCAAATGGAGACTGCCCTGCTGCTGCCACCTGCTGGCCATGCTCAGGATGCAGCGTCATGAAAGACCACACCATCCCCCAAACCCTATTGCTTCCTTCTAGCAAATGTTGGCCAGACTTGGGGGTGAGATCACTCCATGTCCTTAGAAGGTTGAAGGCCAGGATCAGCACTCTACCTGGTGATGTACACTGACCACGGGCAAATAAGCCCCTCCTCACTGTGAAGAACCTGGGTGAAAATAGACACGCTTTGGCCCTCTGTGAGCACTGGTGTCCACGTTGTGAGATGAGAGAGCCGGAGTCTAAAACTCTCCAGATTCAGGGGCACTCTCTTTTCTAGGTGAAATCTTGCTTTGCCCACTGGGTAAAACGGATCTCTTTGGAGCCATCTGAAAATTGGAATAGACACTGTGAATGAAGTTCCCTTCGGCTCTGAAAAGCACTGGGTTGTAGTATCCCCCCACCCCGCAGTGGTACACTGGGAGCATTTACACATACATACTTGGAAGGAGGTGAGAATGGTTGAATCTTCCTCCACAGATCTTCCTTCCTGAGCAAAGCCTCAGAGGGCGTTTACAGCGACTCCTGGACTTTTACAGTGCCTCAGGGCTGGTGGCTTTGAGGAGACCTGGTCCAATCTGCCGACAGGCTTGGTGGAAGCAGCACTCGGCTCTTGGCATTTCCACCCCAAGAAGCTGCCCCTGGCTCTGGAGGCAGCATAGGTTCCTTGGTGGACGTGAAGAGAGGGCAATTTCTCCACCCAAAGTTCTTCTCGGGTCTCCTGCCACTTACCCCGCATCTCCTCTTTCTCCCTCCCCGCAATTTCCTAAGTGCCTTCCGTCCCGGGCTCCTCTGGACCCCAGCCCTGCTCATTCCTCTGGATGTGTGTATTCACACCCATCCTGCTAAGCAGACCTTGTAGGATCTGCTCTTCTTAGACTGCAGGAAGGATTAGGATTAGAAATATCTTGTCTTCAAACAGCTGCTTCTGACCAGTATATAAAGGCCAGCGGGCTTATGTGAGGGCCAAGGTCAGTGTGGCTGGCCAGGTGGGAGACCACGAGGACGAGCCTGCTTGTCCACCAGGAGTGCTGGAATTTTCAGGTGACTGCCACAACAAGGAGTGCACGTTTCTCCATGTGAAGCCAGCTTCCAAGTCCCAGGACTGCCCTTGGTATGACCAAGGCTTCTGCAGGGATGGTAAGGCCTTGAGGGACAGGGACACGGGATGGGATCTGGGTCAGGCTCTCCACAGGGCAGGGGCCCGACCGCCCATGAGACAGCACTGCTGAAATCTCAGCAGAAGGCCCCCCTGTAGCTATCCCCCAGCTTGTGCTCCGGTGGAGGGACCCACTGTGAAGTGCAGCCACAGGCTTCTCGGGGAAGGCTGACTGGGGTTCAATCCTACCTGCAGCACATTATGGGCTGCGAGACTTTGTACTAAGCAGTTTAGCCATGGAAAGCCTGGCACAGAGAGACTCTGTTCTTCTCACACCACTGGTCCACATCCCAGCCCTCAGCTGAAAAGTGTGACCCACATCCGTGTAAGTCCTAGAAGTCACAGCAACACTTCCCACCCTACCTATTTCAGGACTTGCCAGCTGACACCTGTCCCAACCCATTCTGTGGTTCCTGTCCCCCCTCTCAGGATGGCTGGAACTGAGTGCTTTGGGCAGAACAGAAAGAACCAGATTTATGCATCTTGATCAAGTGGAGGAGTCTAGAACTGCACATGCCCTTGCCTGGGAGCGGTTTTGTGTCTCTCCCCTCTGGCTAAAGCAGATCTTTCTGGCTGGTTTCTCTTTGCCCAGCAGGTCCCCGGTGTAAATACCGCCATGTCCCCCGGATAATGTGTCTCAACTATTTCATTGGCTTCTGCCCTGAAGGACCCAAGTGCCAATTTACCCAGTGCGTAAGATCTCTTGATTACCAACTCCCACCAGAGTGCGGGCCTGGCTTTCTGGGTCTAGACCCTCAGTTCCTCCACTGGCTGGCACTAGAAAATTAGACGCCTGGCAAATGTCTACCTGCTGGGTTTTCTTGGCATTGCCACCCAACCCTGGAGGTCTCGGTGGCTGGTGTGCTCCTGCACACCTTGCTAATGTGTGCTCTTGGCTGGGGACCAAGGTAGACCTCGCCACACTGTTCTAGGAATGAGTACAACATTTATTGCCCTTTCCCCCAAGCTCTGCAGTTCTCTCCCCTGCTCCCTGGCCAGGGTGAGGGACCCTTCCCTAGGGAGCCCTGAGACAGAGTTTGCAGCAGGCTGGTGCAGGGAATGTGATGAGAGCAGATGGGAGGTTAGGGCAAGACTGTCATCTCTCCCTCTCTACTTCCTCCAGCCCCAAGATGAACCTCAAATTCAACCCGAGTTACACAAAGGTGAGTGTGGGCAGGCGGGGTGCCTGTGTCTCCCCCTCACTCTGCTCCCCAGTGCTGCCCCGTTTCAAGGACCCTCACTCCCTCCGATCCTGTGGAAGGCACGTGTGGTCATGTATGAGGGGCACCTTCATGGGGTGGCTTCTCCCAGAACCTGCCGACCTCTAGATCCCCTGTGTTGGGTACACCACAGCCCAGGCTTTCCTCTTCCTTAGCTGGATAACTCAAGGGGGCTTTCTGCTACAGAAAATGGGGCCTGGCTCAGGACTTGGGGCCCAGAGTCAGTTTTCTGAATCAAAGCCATCCCTGATTCAGGAACGTGCCTGGTGTCTAGGGACACAGTCTCCATATTGATTCCAAGCGAGGGCACACACCCTGTCAAGGGTCGGCCAGCTCCACCAGCCTGTGGCCCCCGACAGCCAGCTGCTGCTGCTTGTTCCACAGCTGGGAGTGTTTTTAAAGAAGGTTGGGGAAAAAACAAAAGAATATTTTGTGATGTGTGAAAATGATCATTTAGTGCCTGTGAGCGCTTCCACACTCACACACCGTCTCCTAGGGTTTGACTCTGGGGGTCCCCAGCAAAGGGGAGGAAGTCTCATTTCTGTGTGAGGCAGTGTGGGAGGCCGGGCTGGCAGTTACTTGAACCAGGGGAGGTGGGGACAGAATGGCTTGATGCCCTCTCCCAGGAGGGAGTTCCTGTTCTCAGGGGTTGGATTAGTTATGGGAAAGCACTTTGTTTCAAAGTGAGTCTGGCTTCCTCTCCAGCACGCCTGCTTGTCCTTCTACTTTCCTGCCATGTGTGGAACAGCACAAGGCCCTCTCCAAAGGCCAAGCAGACCTGGCCACCCGATCTTGAACTTCCAGCCTCTAGAACTGTGGGCTAAATAAGTTATCGATTCTCAGGCGTTCTGTTACAGCAGCAGGTAACAGCCGAAGGCAGAAATGTTTCCGTGTGGTCTCTGGCTGTTCTGGGGCTTACAGTGGGAAGGGGTTGCAGCAGAGACCTGATGGGCTGAGGTCTGAATGTTTACTATTTGGTCTATTGGAAGTTTGCTGACCCCTGGTTTAGGTGGCTGAGTGCTGAACTGCCACCTAAGTTTGACAAGCAGGTGCAACTGGAGGCAGTTTCTGAGCTCTATGGGAAGGCAACTTCCTGCCAGTTCTGAGCAAGACTCCTGACAGGAAACAGGACAGTCTGTGACAACTCTGGGGAATTATAACACTGGGGAAGTACAATTTTTAACTTATCAAAGGCATGCTTTCTGCACTTAAAAGTGCAAATAAAGGCATTTGAGACCTGGCGTGATATCAAATGCCAGCACCCTGGCCTGCGTGTAATAGCTGTCTGCACACGGGGTCTCTGCAGTAGGTGTCTCCTGGTGACTCGCTCTCTCTGCAGCTTGTCAGGCCATGGGACTCAGCTCCTCCTGATTCTGGTGTGGAAGCCCACAAGCCCCCTTCACCAACTCCGGGCTTAAAAGCAGGGCCTGTGCTACAGGTGAGTGAGGAGTGGACACGCAGGGCTCTGTTTTGCTGAGGGCCAGGAGGGGATGGCCAGTTAGCTGGACAATGAGACTCCTTGTCTGCAACAGACATAAAGCCATATTGAGGCTTAGGAATGTGAATCAAGAGAATGGGGCGGGGGAAATCGGTAAACCATATGTTATGGAGTTTCAACAACTGCACTCTAGCTGCATCTCCCATCAGATACAACTATTTGTTTTAAAGGCCAATTTGTGCCAGGTATGGTGGCAAACACCTGTGATCCCAGCAACATGGGAAGCTCAGGTAGGAGGATCACAAGTTGGGAGGCCAGCCTTGGCAACTTAGGGAGACCCTATCAAAATTAAAAATGGGCTGGGGGTGCAGCTCAGTGTTAGCACTCCTGGGTTCAATTCCCACTACCTAAATAAATAAATAAATGGCTAAGCTGAACATCATTTATAGTTTGCTGCCTATTCACCCACTCATTCTCTTTGTTATTTACACACACTGATTTCTTTAAGATTTGTAGGTCAGGGATAGAGTTTGGTATAGAAGGAAACACAGCAAGTTGGTTTTCTTTTTTGCCATCTTATCAGGCAGGCAGGAAAAAAAAAATCCTATTTTTATGGAACAGCTTCTAAATTGTCCTGAGCTGTGTTCTACAAAGTTACACCAAATGACAGGCAGGAGAGGAGGAACCCTGGCTTTCTTGTACACTTGACTTTATGGGCCTTTCAAAGTCCAGAGCCCCATTCTCCGTGTGTGGCTGGCCTTGACTTTGTCTTTTAGCCCTGGAATGAGATAAGCTTTATTCATGAGCAGAATTTATTCTTCAGAAAGCAGCCATCTCCTATGGTTCCCTGGGCAATTTAGGGGTTTTCTCTTGAGATACGAATTTTCAAGATGTCATGCAATTCACTTTAGAAAACCCGCCACGTTGCCGTGGGGTTCGGTGAGACTTGGCCACCAGAGGCTCTGAAGAACCCAAGGCCTGGGGAACGGCAGATCCAGTGAAGGCACTCAAGAGCACGTGGTGGGATGCAGCTCACCACGTTTGGGGTGAGGCCAGCCCCAGCCTTGGGGCCGAGCCAGCCTGCCCTACCTGGGTGTGAGTCTTTCCATCCTGTGAACAAGCAGATAAAGCACCGTGGCAGGACTGAGTATGCGCATGTGGAATCTAGAGCTCCTAAGCATGAACACCTACAGCCGCGTTCTGTGCACAAGGCGCCCGCAAACAGCCTTGAGGCTGCTGTACACGTGATTAAACCCAATGGTTCTTTGGCATGAGAGCTGCTTCCCCGTGCAGCTTATTTTTTCTAAGTTGTAGATGGACACAATACCTTTGTTTATTGGACCCAAGTCTCACACACGCTACGCAAACGCTCTGCCACTGAGCCCCAGTTCCCCTGTGCGGCTTCCTTTAAGGGGAATGCATTCTGTGCCTTATGTGGGGGCTCCAGGCAGGAGATGGTACACAAAAGGCTTGTCCTGGCAAGGTAAGGAAGTGACAAGGAATGCTCACTGTAATGCTATTTTTACTGTAATAATCAAAAAATGCCATTCATTCCATTGGGAAAGAAAGGTGGCAGCCAAGTTGACTTGCAGGGACAGAGAGGAAGACAGCAATGGCAGGGGGTGTGAGATAGTCTTCCCCACCTTTAGGAGGAGAGTGGCAGGTGGGGTGAAGGTGGTGTGAGGGTGCAGGGGTCAGGCCTGGGGGTTTGGATGTCAGCTGGAGCCACCCAGGGCTGCTAACGTGGAAAGAGTGCCTTTCCACCAACAAATCTCTTGTTCTGGAATGTGTGTCAGCACAGGCTGTTGTGTGGATGAGGACACCTGCTGGGCCCTCTGCCTAGGTGCAGGGCTTTGGGTCAGCTGCTGTGAGTTCCCACTCTGTCACCTGTGGCTGGAAGGAACAGACTTGCCGAACCTCTGCAAGGCAGGAACACTCTCCCCAATTTACAGTCCAAAGGAAGCACCAGAAGTTGGTCAACCTGCCCAGCATTGTTTATTTTATAAAAACAAAAAGAGTAGTGACCTTAGTATGTGAGTTTCCACAAAGTACAGAAGAGCCTGTGGATAATACAACAGAGTGCTTTTATTTTTATATTTTGTGGTGCTGGGGACCACACCCCAGGCTTCACATATGCCAAGCCCATGCTGTAGCACTGCTACATCCTGGGCCCTGGAAATGATTTTATGTATTATTTTTAAAAAATTTATTTTAGTAGTTGTAGATTAACAGAATGTCTTTATTTTTTAATTTTTATGTGGTGCTAAGTATCAAATCCAGTAGCCCACACATGCTAGGCAAGTATTTTGTCACAGAGCCACATCCCCATGATTTATTTATTTTTTGGGGTACCAGGGATTGAACTCAAGGATACGCGACCACTGAGCCACATCTCCAGCCCTATTTTGTGTTTTATTTAGACACAGGGTCTCACTGAGCTTTTTATTTTTAGCACCTCACTGTTACTGAGGCTGGCGTTGAACTTGTGATCCTCCTGTCTTAGCCTCCTGAGCTGCTGGGATTACAGGTGTGCACCATCACGCCCAGCCCATCGTTTTATTTTTAATAGAAAAAAAATGTAGTTTTTTTTAGGTATTTTAGGTGTGACTTAGGATTCAACAAGAGCCAGTACCCGTCTTCATGGCCTCTCACAAGTGCTCAGCAAGCTGCATTCTCACCTTCAGCCTGGGCATGCTGTGGCTCCCGTGCAGGATGTGGCGGGACTGGTCTGCCTGCAGGAGGCTCAGGGTGACTTTCCGGAGTTCCTGCTCTGCCCTGCCAGCTGGGCGCTGTGGCTCACTCAGGGAGGCTCCTGCCAGTGCTGTAGAAGAGTCAGCACACAAGGAGGCTGTCTGATAAGGTAAATCACGTTAAAGCCATCGTTCCTCTTCACGGGGCTTTAAAAGAGATGGGTGGTCACCCCTGTGACCACCAGGAAGCACTCTGGTTTCTCCAGGTAGCAGAGTCTCACTCTCCACTGTTCCAGTTCTGAAAATCTCCTCTCTATGGATGAAGCTTTAACCTGCCAGATCACATGTGTGACTGGGGCTGGCTAGCAGGGGCAGCCTGGTGGATGTCTGTACAGAGGAACCAAAACACCTACCCTCACACCGCAAGTATAGGTCCACACTGCCACCTGCAGCTAATCTGTGTGTCCCTTGGTTACACTGTCTGTTTAGATCCAAACCTAAGAAGCACCCGGTCATCAACTTCTTTCTACAATGCTTATTAAACCACAAGATTCCCTTTCAGGACTCATCGAAAGGTCTACATTATTTCCTCACCCTAGAAGCCACCAGGGAGCAGATGAGGAAGCCTTTCTCTCCCTATAAGGGGAGTAACAAGTGCTACATGGAGATACTCCAGGGCCTTCTTTAAAACCACCCATGTTTATTTAAGAATCAGTTCTATCTAGTTCAAAGAAATCAGATAACACAGTTTGCTCTTTGTGGCTACATTGAGTTAGATTCTTCTTGTATCTTATTTATTGGTACTAGGCATAGAACCCAGGGGCACTTAAACACTTAGCCACATCCCTCACCCTTTTTATTTTCTGAGACAGGGTCTTGGCAAGTTGCTTAGGGCCTCACTGAGTTGCTGAGGCTGGCTCTGATCTTGACTCAGTCTCCCAAGCTGCTGGGATTTCAGGTGCACACCTCCTTGCCTGGTGAGTTAGAATTCTTGATGCTGACCAGTGTCAAACAGAGAGACCTCATATTAACATAGGTAAGCTAAATCATGTTAAAGCCATTGTTCGTCTTCACGGGGCTTTAACCCTTTGGGACCAATGAGTTGTGAATTAGTTTCTTACATTTTTAGGAATGTAAGATATTTACTGTGATGAACTTTTTCATTAATGCTTCAGCATTCTGACTGCAAATGATACTAGCTTATTTAGTGAGGGCAATGTTCTGGATAAGAATCTTGGGGAGTGACATGCTGCCCTTGGGCTACCTCTGTGCCTAGGTGTGACTGGTGGCCCCAGGGGCAGAACAGGGCCCTATGGTACTAGAGCCAACTCAAGACAGGCTTCTTCTGTTGAACTGTTTCCTAGCCCGGGTGTCGAGAGCAGCGATTCCTGGCTCCCGTCCCTCCAGCAAAGAGGTCAGGTGCTGTGCTCTCTAGGGTAGGGGTTGGCACACTCTGTAAAGGGCCGGACAGTAAGTATTTTCACTTTTGGGGGCACATTGATCTTGCTGCTACTATTTAATTTTGCTGCTATGTGAAATAGCCAGAGGTAATCCCTAACTAAACGAGGGGCTTCACTTAAAGGCACTGGCTGATCTGAGTTGGGGCTGCAGGAGTCTGTTGTTCCTGCTGAGGGATCAGGAAAAGAGGGCAGTGTAGTTTCTGACCTTGTGGACAAAGAGGAGGTGTGGAGGGAATTCCTGTGTTTCATTAAAGGGAGATAATTAAGGAGAGACACGAGGCCCTTTCTAAAGAGAGACTGTTCTGGGGCTCCAGTGAGTTTGGGCACCCTCTTATCCTCGACTGTGACCTTTCCTCGTGGACAATTCTGGTTTATGGAGCCACCCTTCTGAGTACCTTTTCCTTAACTATGAGAATTTGCAGCAGAATTAAATCTAAGCCACTTGAGGGAGGATGGAGCAGACTGAGAGTCCAAGTTCTGAGGAAAGAAAGAAAGCAATGAGCACACATACATACAGGCCCGGGAGAGCAAGCCTGCTCTTGCATGTCTGTGCAGGAGCTGGGGAGAGGGCCTGACCTCTGTGTCTTGCACGAGGATGTCGCAAGCAAAGCCGAGAGAGAGAGGTATGCATAGCCTGGGCAGTGTGTGAGGCCAGCTGGCTTGTGCTGTAGTGGGTTGGAGAAACGGCTTCCCACTTACACCGCCTCATCCCTGTCTGCAGATACCCACGTTACTGTCGGGGACTGAACAACTGGACATTAAGTATTTTCCCCCTGTACTCGGGCTTGAACCCAGGGGCACACTACCACTGAGCAGAGCCCTTTTACTTGCTAAGTTGTCAGGGCTGCCTGGGATGTCCGATCCTCCTGCCTCAGGCTCCCCAGTAGCTGAGGTCACAGCGGGCATCACTGCACTGGCTCCACTCAGTACTCTGATGAGAGGAAGAGACCCAGGCTAACACTGACAAATGGAAAGGGCTGTCTGTCATTCACAGATGCTCGGGAAGGGATGGGGTGGGATTCTGAAGTCCCAGGAAGAGATAATAAAAGGAGAGCCGTGCACACTGCCGCACTTGCTGAAGATGCACAAAGGTACCTCAACATTCTGTTGGTTTGCTATTTTTAGTCAGCTTAGGAAGCATTTGCAGGAGTATTTAAGTGCCCTTTCCACAGACTCCCTGCCCCTCAGACCCAGCCTCTGTACACTTCTCTCACCTGCCAAGGTCTGCTCAAGGGCTCAGAGGCTCAAAGGGCAAGGGCCTCCATGTAGGCTTATTTTCTGCCAATTTGGACAGTGTCCTTTATTAGTCTATAGGGAGTCTCTAGTATCTCCCATAAACAAATGGCAAAACACCAAGGTTTAGAAAACAACTTTAGGAAGAAAGATTTAAAGTGGAGATACTGCTTTTTAATGAGAACTGAGAAGTAGCGTCTTAATTTAAATGACCCACTTTTTCATCTTCACATCATTTTAAATAACAATTTCATGATTAAACAAAAAATGGTCTTTTAAGTAATTCAGTCACTTTTGAAAGCAAGCCAAAGAAACCTCAGACAGAACCAGATCATCTACCTTAATAAAATGTGCTTTCCACGACTGTTTTAGATTCCAGTGACTTTATTCTCCGACTCCCCCTCCTGCTGCGTAGGCATCGCCCGGCTCCTGAGGCTCCAGACTCTGGCTTCAGTGGTGTCCAGTGAAGGTTACTTACGCCAGCGCTGCAGCTCTTTGGACAAGCAGAGATAAACGTTAAGGACCCAAGAGGCCACCTCTATGGATGGCTTCTGATGCCTCCACAGATCATTCCGTTCTTATTTTACAAATATGGGAATAGTCTTGGACAAAGAGAAGTTTTTGCTTCATGTTCTCAACTTTGATTTTGACAGGTGACAAACATCACATCTACCAAACATTTAACTAATCCCTTTCAAGGGGCACAACTGTAGGGAAGCCTTTTTCTCTGGGAGGAAGGACTTGCTTTTGGATCTGCTCACTTAACTTCTTATTGATGGTCTAAGGTCTCAGACTGGCTAGC